GAAGCTATCAGGTCATATCCATGGCTTAGCAAGAAGATTTTCCATCTGACTGACTGGTCCATCCACAGTTAGCAACAGAAATTCTCGAACTTTTTTTGGCTTCCATTAGCCAAAACACTCTGTGATTGCTGGCCCATCCACTTTCACAAACGAGTTTAATCTTGCGAAGCTTCAGGTCATATCCATAGCTTAGCAAGGAGATTTTCTAGCTGACTGACTGGTCTATCCACAGTTAGCAAAGAAATCTCAACTTTCCAAGCTCATTTACGATTGGCTCACCGATCTTGAGCTTTGGATTGTTACGTTCACGGGAAAGGTTCCAACACCTTACCGTCCAGTACAGCGCACAAGCCAACCAGGCGCGCTTGCTGACAGCTAGTAGACGCTCGGCACTCGATTGCCAGCTCACTTGAAAGCTTCTTTGCAACCAGTAAGGACAGATATCGTATCGAGGCCAGCCCTGCTGTCGCCCTCAAGCCAAAGCGATCAACAAAAAAAGGATACATACTTCCAAATTGGAACGCTTGGAATCACTACACCAGCCCACGACCCTACCACGTGCAGCAGAAAAGAATGATAGCGCTCCAGCTTCTCAAGATCAAGATTAACAACGCCTGCAAACTCGTGAAATCCCACGAGTCACAAATCGAGGATACTGATGTCCCCTTCACATTCCCTACACTAAAAGAAGAGTCTGAGCAGTACATAAAAGAGAAAACAGGATTGATAACCAATCTTCTTAACTCTCTACACAACGCAGTGAAGCTTCAAGAGACGCAACTCCGCGATCGAGTACATGCACGGAATGAGGAAAAAGAAAGAGACAAACTGATGATGGAGCTCAGCAAGCACCTAGAGATGGAGTCACTTGACCTGGAAGTGATTGTAGTGCAGTGGCGGACAAGGATAGAGTTCAGGCAGCATGAACTGAAAGAACAAGACGCACTACTGCACTGCGATGCTTCAAGCATACCGAGTCAACCAAGTAGTAATAATGGACAAGCTTGGGTTCCAGAACGTAATGAAATGCAGATCAAAATTCGGAAACCTCTGCTGGAAATCCCTACGTTCTCAGGCAATTTCCGAGAATTTAACAGCTTCTGAACCGTCTTCGAATCTCTTATCCACACTGACGAGGAGCTATCGGATACAGATAAATTCCTCTTTCTGAAACAAGCAATGAAGGGGAAAGCAGCAGCCACTTTGAGCTGCATATCCGTCATCGGAGACAGATATCAGACAGCGATAGATATCTTAAAGAAACATTTCGATCGCTCTGCCAACATGGCAGATATACTTATAAATGAGATCGAAAAACTACCCAGGGCCTCAGATGATCCGAGAAGTTGCCGAGACACGTTCGAAGCAATCAACTCAAGGATCATCCACCTGGAGCAAACGGGAGCAAAGATAAACGCAGACAGACTTTGGCGTCGAATAATCTTTTCCAAATTTCCCGAATCCATCTGTACGACTGCCATCCAGAAAGAAGCGGTACAAGATGATCCATTTGATGTTAGCAAAATCCTGAACACCATCGACAGCATCATTTCATTGCGAGAGACAATCTTGCTAACAACGGAAACTTTCTTTCCAACCAACTACCACCCAAACAACCAAGAAAACGAAAGGACTACCAGATGCGATAGAGAGGAACACTTTTCGAAACCAAAACGTTTGTGTTTATGTGGACAACCACATTCTCCTCACACCTGTCAGAGATACACCACACCAGAAGCTCGGCGACTTGAAGCAACAAACCAAGGAGCGTGTTGGAGATGTTTTGCAAGCGATCACGACTCAAACGCTTGCACGAATTTCGGTGTGTGCCCCAAATGCAAAGGATCACACCATGGATCTCTTTGCTTGTCAGAAGCAGGAAAGCAGAGGATTCTCGACGCAATCCCGAGATCCTACCTTGATCGACATTCATCTGCTCCTTGGTCATCACGTGACATCAGTCAGGATCGTCATGAGAAGAGTAATACGCACGTCGTACAAGGCTCACGACAAGAAGTCTACAATCCCGAAGTGCTTCCACTTGCACAGGATCAATGCATTCTTCAAATTTTTCGGCAGTATAACCAACGAGGCAGAGTGGGATTACCAGCCAGTAACGATTCTACTTGACTCCGGTGCACAACGAAGTTTCATCAAATCAGAACTTCGTGAAGAACTCAAGCTTCCAGTCCTTCGTACTACTTCGTTTTCTAAATCGGGAATGGGCGAACAACAAGAGCAATTCAACTCATCTGAAGTACAAATCACCTTGAAAAGTCTCTACAGCTTCAAAAAAATCAAGAACTTGTCATTGCACACTAAGCAGAAGCTGACTACCGACATGCAGACGGCAAGTCTCACGGAAGCAAACTTGCGTCCCATCTCTAACAGGAAACTGATAATCGCTCAAGATACGCTCTCCTCGAAAAGCATCTCACCCGATCTGATCATAGGACAAGACCTCCTAAACCTTGTTACTCTCCACAACGACAGAGTGCATAAGCTTCCTTCGGGCCTCATTCTGACTCCAACCATCTTCGGATACATTATATCAGGGACGAGCGCCACTACCAGTACATCAAGTCTTGTTGGCACATTCGGCTGCATATCAACGCTGAGGGGAACCCTCAGGAACAACCGCCCAACATTTCCACAACACAGCGAGAGATTGAAGAAACCCAAATCGTACCCTTATCGCAACAATGCGAACACACGAACGGGTGACAAGCCATTATCGGCGAAGCAGGATGAAGGAACAATCCAAAGAAGAACGATTCCGTTGCGAACAAAACTACAACCATGTTCTTCATCCAGCCACAATCCAGCTTGACAAGGCAAACAGTCACTGCCTCCATTCTCGCTGAAGCTCGAGCAGACCGACAACGTTGGCTGGCCACAGTACGCTCCACAAACTCCAATGTTCGCGCCCAATACCGAATGGAGTGGCTACCGCAGCGGTTCACAAATAATGAAGCCAAGATAAGGATGACGAATACACCGCAGAGAAGACATCATGAGTACACACATCGCGCAAGCACGCCCTCTGTCAAGGATATGGTCATCAATGAATCATCTACCATCGATTCAGTATGGAAAAGGAGGAAATGGCGAGGACGACGAGCAGCGCTAAACCGCCAAACAGCTCCAGCAACCACTCCAGAATCTATTCCCATTCTTTTCCCACTTTATCTAAGTGATCGTACTCCTGTGTATATGTTTAAGATACTTGCAACTCCTGCTTTATAGCTCATTTTTTATGCGTAGGTATTAACTTATTCGCTAGTCAACTTCACATGTATCTGCTACTAATTAGTATCTTACCAGATCTCACTTTCGTCTCGCTCGCCCGGAGTGTTGATGATTTCTGTATCATCAACCATTCATGAAATCTATATTCTATATAGCCTACGTAGGCTAAATGGTGAGCTACTCACTCTTGAGTATCTAATCACTCAAGAGTGAGTGGTACCCGTGCGCCAGGAGTGTAGCCAATCGGCGGCATCTCCTTTCAAGCACCAACTCGTGTACATTGTACCCTGTACTCGGTTCAGCTCCGCCTTCCTTGGTATATAAGGAGCCTCCGAATGTATTGGGGGTTGCTCCCCGGTCCACACCGGGACACCTCATCACCTCTTCTCGAATAATCTACGCCCATGCGAATAAACCTTATTCCACAGCTCGTCTACCCCTAATCACTTGGTACCCACCAAAGCCGAGTTCAATACTCAATTTGTAAAAATTGTAAAGCCTTCTAAAAGTTGTAACTACATTTTTAGGGGCATCGAGAAAACGGCTGCTGTTGCCTATCAGGCATAACTTCTTCTTAAGGAAGCATGAGAAATGAGAAATGCAAATTTCATATTAAAAATTAGCAACAGTTCAGTGGGAGAGCTTTCAGATTGTTTCGTTCCCTATCTGATCCAAAATATGACCCTCCATGGCTCAAAATCGTCTTTAAAGTTTCTACCGTAATCCTGCATCAAAGAAGAGAGAATAGGTAGCTATCTGTATCTAACATCTAACGAGGAAAGCTAGTTCGAAGTGCTCTTGTTGGATGAGATGTATGCGTTGTTAAAGGGCATGAAACCCTGATTCCAACCCTGCCTTCTTTATCTACAGAAGGTTTATGGACGGGAAGTTATGAGCGCCTTTTAGTGCGAAAAAAATGAATGTGCGTTTTGATAAAATGGGTTAGTAAAATATTATTAGCCCTCAAATAATGCAATCAAGGGGTGGCTTGACTACATAGACCACCGATTCGATGTTTAATTGGGGTTCGGAGCAACAAAAAGGGTTGAGAAAGCAGAAAATCGGTGTCGAATACTTGCTCGATCACCTTCGAAATTTCATCAAATCTTAAATTGACTAGGGACTCTGCCATAGAGGGAGATAGAGGAACACATTGAAAAGCGTGGAAAATATTTATGAATGTTCAAATGCTGATGCAAAATTTCTTTTTTTTTTGAATTTGGAATTTATCCATTCATAAATGCGTGATGCCTGTCACTTGCCTCAGATAAAGCAGGCAAAAGTCAGAAAAGATGTTCGACGAAAGAACTAAAAAAAGTGTAGATGCTATTTTGAAAACTTGTAATGCCCTTCTATGTCATTTTTGGTGGCGGTCATAGAAGCACCAACTTCATGACCAAATCCGAAACGAAAGTTGAGCAAATACTATGCGCAGTTCACCACTGCATGTGATGTACGGATGATCAGCCAAAAGTACAATACCGCCCAAAGAACGTACAATTTTGCAAAATTCCCGGAATTCAGCGACATTCGGAAATATTGCACATTCTGTGAGCGGTGTTGTACTCGAGAAGAACTTTGACTCCATGTCATGTTGAACACTCATCCAGATTACCTAGCTGTGCAAAGTTCAGAGTCAACCTTTAGTGAAGCAGTATGTTAGCTGAACATTTGTAAATAACCTTTATTAAAGGTGAAAATCGGAAGTGGCCGCAAAAGTCAGATTCACCATTTTCAATAACTCATTGAAAATGTTGGAACTCTTTGTTCTCGGAACAGTGAGTGTACTACTGTTTCGTGTTTTCTCATTCAAACAGCACAGTATATACTTTTTTAGTTACTGTTACTGGCAGCAGCAGCTCCAGCATGGCGCGATCCAAACGATCCGCAAGAGGTAAGATTGAGAGTAGTTAAGTGAAAACGACTATTTCGACTGAAATCAGTTCGTTGACAAACACATCTTCAAAATGCTTCTTTCGAAAGTTGTGTAAATGATGCTTTACATATCTGCGATATGTGAACCTAACGAACTTGATTTGAGCATTGTTGTTAATCTCGAAAACAAAAGCTCGGTTCTTTTTTCCCAGTATAACTTGGGAAAGCCGAACTCGTTTTTATCTCTTATCAAAAACAGTCCCAGTAGTGCACGATGATTTTCCTTCCCCCCTCTCTCCCCCTCCCTTGTGACCGTCTCCCGCTCTTCCGGGGACGGTCACGAGGCGCGATTTCTACAGGGTCACCAACTAAAGAGCCCAGTTTAGAGCTATGCGTGTCTTTTGATGATACCAGGCAAAGTGCCTACTAACCATAGGAAGCTACCACTTGCCAAGTTTGGCTACTTTTGGTGGAAACTTGATTAAACTATTCATGAAAAGGCCATTAGGTACGTTTCCAAGGGTTTTTGATCTCCAGCACTTATTTTTCAATCTATTTCAAAATGATAAGATCGAACAACCCACGGAACAGTTATAAATATCTCTCTAAAAATTTGAATTGCTCCTAGAATTCATGAAATACTAAAAATGCGCTAGTTAGTTGTCCATCTGGCGATAAAAATCGCGCTTATTGACGTACACTGCGCTCTTCCCTAGCTGACCGTTTAAAATCGAAGGGGGCATGATGGAGAACAAAGGAAAGGTTTGGACTTGTCTTCATGGGGTATTTTTTGACTTCATCCCTCATCTTCTATAGTAAGCGTATAATAAAGTTTTTACAAAAAAGTTGTGCAAAACGAACTTCTATATTTCAGAGTGATGATCCTACCTCTGAAGTTGGAGGATCGGGAGGAAGCGTTGTTAATAAGGTGGGTAAACAGACTTTGGCAAACTCTTTGTTCTCGGAACAGTGAGTGTACTACTGTTTCATGTTTTCTCATTCAAACAGCACAGTATATACTTTTTTAGTTACTGTTACTGGCAGCAGCAGCTCCAGCATGGCGCGATCCAAACGATCCGCAAGAGGTAAGATTGAGAGTAGTTGAGAGAAAACGACTACTTTGACTGAAATCAGTTCGTTGACAAACACATCTTCAAAATGCTTCTTTCGAAAGTTGTGTAAATGATGCTTTACATATCTGCGATATGTGAACCTAACGAACTTGATTTGAGCATTGTTGTTAATCTCGAAAACAAAAGCTCGGTTCTTTTTTCCCAGTATAACTTGGGAAAGCCGAACTCGTTTTTTCTCTTCTATCAGAAACAGCTCAATAGTGTACGGTGATTTTCCGTTCCCCCCCCCCCCCTCTTGTGACCATCTCCCGCTCTTCCGGGGACGGTCACAAGGCGCGATTTCTACAGGGTCACCAACTTAAGAGCCCAGTTTAGAGCTATGCGTGTCTTTTGATGGTACCAGGCAAAGTGCCTACTAACCATAGGAAGCTACCACTTGCCAAGTTTGGCTACTTTTGGTGGAAACTTGATTAAACTATTCATGAAAAGGCCATTAGGTACGTTTCCAAGGGTTTTTGATCTCCAGCACTTATTTTTCAATCTATTTCAAAATGATAAGATCGAACAACCCACGGAACAGTTATAAATATCTTTCTAAAAATTTGAATTGCTCCTAGAATTCATGAAATACTAAAAATGCGCTAGTTAGTTGTCCATCTGGCGATAAAAATCGCGCTTATTGACGTACACTCCGCTCTTCCCTAGCTGACCGTTTAAAATCGAAGGGGGCATGATGGAGAACAAAGGAAAGGTTTGGACTTGTCTTCATGGGGTATTTTTTGACTTCATCCCTCATCTTCTATAGTAAGCGTATAATAAAGTTTTTACAAAAAAGTTGTGCAAAACGAACTTCTATATTTCAGAGTGATGATCCTACCTCTGAAGTTGGAGGATCGGGAGGAAGCGTTGTTAATAAGGTGGGTAAACAGACTTTGGCAAACTCTTTGTTCGAGGTCTTTGTTGGATAAGGTCCGAAAATGTAGGAAGAAGAATGCCAAGAGGAAGGGGAAAGAGAGGAGGATCCGGTAAATGTACTGGTAGGTTTTGCTTACGCATCCTTGTTAGCTTGATTTTGACACAAACAAAAAGCTGCACATGTATAGTAAATATTACATAATGAATATGCTTACTGCAATAATGTTTGTACAAGGAAAGCTGTCAAAATCTGTAATGGAAGTATCACCACATTCTAGCAAGAAAATGAGGAAGAGGGACACCCACCGAACTCCGTCTCCGAAGAAACGGTGGGTTACCGTTGACATACTATTTTTCTATTGTTGCAATTTGCTTGCAATCTTTAAAACTCCTATAACTCTTGTAGTAATTTGAAAATGATAGTAGTTTGATTAACGGAGAAGCTAAGTCGATATTCCATTTTACAAAACAGGGCCGTTGAATTTCTCAGCTTCATGTTCGATGATGTTTACATCATCGAACACGAAGCTAAGGAACTACTAAAAAAAACTACTACTGTGATATTACGTACACCTTTAGTTATCATTTGATAATTCCCATCGTCCTCGACAGAAGAAAATGGATCAGAAATTAATTGAGGAAACTCTAAAGGCGAAAAGGAAAAGATGAGAGCTTTTGGTTTGCTCTTAACTCTCCTCAACCGAATAGCACGACCTTTTCAAGATTTATACTAAGGAAAGAAACTATGATTGTTCTTGCAATGAATTTGAAAGGCAGCTTTCAATTATATATCTTTTATAACATCTCAAATAAACAACTATGTTTGATTGGTAATATGAATTCACTTGCTGATTTTATAGCCAGAACCGCCGGAAAAAGAGAACGTAAATGAGGTATGAATCTGCCGCATTTCTTCTGAACAAAATATTGCTATATAAATTCGCAAGATCATACTGAGGAGGAAGTTGAAAGAAAAGAGGAAGTTGATGTGAGATTTCTGAGGATTTTCAATTGACTGCGTATACCGTAACTTCAAACACATACTCACATCGTTTTCTATGTTTTGGATGTATAAGAAATTGGGTCGTAAAATTCCTTGTAGCTTCAGATGTTTTACATAATCGAAACTAGTACTGTAACATAACACCACTAGTACTGTGGTATGACGAAACACTCCTTAGTTATTATTTGATAGGTCCTACCGACAGAACCGGAGGAACCAAACGGAGAGGAAAAGAAAGAGGTGAGAGCTTTATAATTTGCTCCCTACTTCTTCCTTACAACTGAGTAGCGACTTTATCGAGATTTACACTAAGGAAAGAATATGATGTGCTCTTGCAATAAATTTGCTAGGCAGCTTATTATATTTATTATCATGAAGACCTTTGATAACACTACTGTGTTTCATTGATATTATAAGCTCAATTACCAGTTTATAGTCTGAACCGCAGAATAATGAGGATGAGAAACAAAAGGTAAATTTGCTGCATATTCCGTTCACAAACTACTGCTACAAACTTTGATCTTGCAGAAGAAGACTGAGGAAAAGAAGAATAAAGAAGAAGAAAAAGAGAAGGTACGATTTCTAAGCATTTTTCATTGATTGCGTATTCATTGCTTCAAGTAACTCCCAACACGCGAATATTCGAAAGAATTTCGAGAACGTGATATTTTTACTTATTTTCTTAGTTTAGAGCGCAGACACTTCTGATCAATGAGAAGTCAGTTTCTGCTTGTGACTGAGAATTTAGGCCTTGATACTTGATTCTCAAGTCATATTACGAAACAAGCTAATGTTAATAGCAAGGTCTTCCGCCTAAGCATGAAGCAGAGTCGGTAGATGATTTTATGGAGAGTGTGATGGTCTCATTGTTGAGAGAACAGAACAAGCAAGGAACAGAAACTTTTTTTCGGAGAAATTGCAAAATCATATATTACACACACACATTGGCAAAATTTACAGTTTTCTTGAGCAGACAAAGAAACCTAGATAAGTAATCTAGTCCAAGATCTAGGAATCAACTTGTTTATGTGAATGATTTCTGACTTTCCAGGAGAAAGAAGAGGAGAAAGCACCGGAAACACCTAAAGCTCCTGTGGTAAGATTCTGCTTCTTCAGGGTTTGCTCTTACGGGACAACGTAAGCCAAACAGTTTGCCATTAGAACTGAACTTACCAAAATTTGTTGTAACTTTTTTGCGTTACATCCGAAAAAAGGATATGGGAGATTAACTCTTGTGTACGATTTTTAGTCAGTTCAGTGTAGTCTAGGGGCGCTCGTTACATGCGTTCGGCAAATTATAAGTCGTCCCCGCGCGGAATGTAATTCAGGAAAATTTTGCTGTTTTGTAAATCCTAGCACTAATGCTCCTTCTTGTATTGTTAGTTGGCTTCTTTTGCTAATTTTATGCCTCTCGTCATCGGATACCTACTTTCATAACGCAACGACTTGAGGCTGTGGGTGTTGTGCTCTACAGCTACCGGTGAACACTGTCTCAGTTTTATGTCCAGTGGGTACTAGATTAACGGCAAACATGAGCACAGGGAAAGTGAAGATTGACCTTTGGCGTATATTTATTAAGGTAGAAAGAAAGAAGTTTACATGTGTAAATACATTTAAGCTTGATGGTGCAGAAAAACATATCTGAGCTTTAATAACATTTCCGAAGTCGCAGGTGTACAGTGAAATACATCTGCATTTGATGAACTAGGCTTGTATCACTTTACTGCAACTCTAACCAAGTGTTGTAGTTTCATAAATCAACTGAGAATTGGATTTTACGCTTGCAATAGTTGGCTACAATGCCGCACTAGTTACAGTAAAAGGTCTCTTCCTATTTGCAATTCGCAACATTGGTAACGTAATATAATATAAGGCTGGCTAAAAAATAACTTCATTTTGGCGCATAAATCTTCACAAAATTTTTCTTGTTTTATCCGTAACTTTTTTGCACAATGGTTGTTTAAAGCTTCCACTATCGCAAACCAGCACTCAGAATTCTCTATTATCTAAAACATACTTTACGGCCCAACATGGTTAAATTGTATGAAAAAGCTCAGTTTTTTGAATTTCTAAGCTTCTCGTATTGTAGTAAATGTAGAGATGAGTAAACCATGTTCGAATAAACGTTTTTTCTCTGTCCAGCGAATAACAATAAAACCTGCGATACGCTGTTTTGAGATTCTTTGATAGAAAAAAAAACGAAATTAATAGTGTTTCACACATTAACGTATAGTGAAGTTGGGACTTCTCGTTTTCTGCATTTCTCTTTAATGAAAAAGAATGTTATTGAAAAAGTTTAGATCTCACTTCTCACTAGAACATTTTTGCAGCACTTGTAGGAACCGCAATAGCGACTGAAGCTATTTACTAAACAAATTAACATTGAAGCTACTTTATTGCTCAACCTTTAGAGTTATATAACTATGTGAAGCTTTAAGTCAAACAAACAGAATGTGACAGAATGTTACTGCTTCCCAAAAATTTTTGATAATTCAGGGTCCAGAGGGAGATCCGGATAAGTCAACGCTAGCAAAAGTGACACCAAAACCAATACCACAAGTTCCGAGGAAAACGGTTAAGAAGGTGAACGATAAGAAGAAAAACAAGAAGAAGAAGAAGCCAGCCCTCAGGAGAAAAGGAAGAGGCAATCAGAAAAAGTCGAGAAAACCGAAGCATAACAAACTCCGTAATAATAAGAAAGTAGCAAAATCAAAATTAAAGGTGCAGTTATATTGACAATGACACATGATTTAAATTATGGATTTCTTACAGCAGAAGAAGAGGCGCGCTGCGAAAAATCAGTCGAGAAGGAGACGTACCTGATGTCAGTTTACACAGCATTGCATTTTGGCTAAAACGTGCTTTTTGAAAGAATACCATGTGATCTGTATTTTTGTGCTCCTTTCGTTACCTTTGGAGAAACTGTTAAAGCCAAAGCATTTGATTGTGCCACGCATTGCAAATAAACTATCGGTTGTTCTTGTTGTTACATTATTCAAGAGCAGTCATTCGCGTTTTCTGGTACACTCAAATCTTGTGCGAGCAGGGTTAACAAGATAGCAGGCTATATCAGATTTGCATATAATAATGAAAGAACACAAATCTCCCCATGTCAACATTATGACCTTATGAATCTTGAACAAAAATCCTTTTCTTTACAGAGTTGCTTGTTTATATTCGTCCACTTCAGCGCGTATTTTTCTTCGTTGTTGCGCTAGGTCTACCTTGAAAATATTGGTAAAAAACTCTTTGAGAACCTGTTTATTTTGTTTTATAGGACTGCTTGAAGACGTTTGCAGGAATCAGTATTTCTAGAATTCTGTCAAAAAAGGTGTCAGGGGTTTTGGATTTTTTTTGTTGTTGAAAATACTGCTAATTTACAGCCACATGATGCTGCCTACCTTTGAGTAATGATTGAAGTACTCTCTTAACCCTAAAGTGACGGAGAAAATTTGGTGCTTCGCTTTACACCATAGATCTAAGTTGAAGACAACTCTATAGAATAATACTCGACGAGTGGCGAAAGACATTGGGATAAGACAGATACAAGGCAAACATTGAGACATTTTTTGGGGCGCTAAGTACTTTGTATTATTAAACCGGTTATGACTCGAAATCCAGAAGACGGTGATCACTTTGTAATGTATTCATCTTGAAGAAAGAGATTTCAGATGTGGATAATCACAATTTTCCGAATTTAAAGACACGCAAAACAGAAAGTAAACTTCCATGTCAAAACGCAGAGCATACCATTTACGAGCCTTTTATTCAAATAGAATTTCGAAAACGAATTAGGCATGTATTGAGCCCTTATATTTATCTTGTCTTATTTTTCTTGACTAAAGGGGAAGAAAGCGTCTATGATTAAATTGATTTTGTTTTGATGTTTTTAAAGCTGAAAAAGAGAAAAAACCTGCAATACTTAGAGCTTAAGGTACCTAGAAATTGCATGACTAGAGCTATTCACGTCAGTTAGCCACCAATGTTTATTGTCGAGGCTAGAAAGTGTCACAATCTCGCAACTGGCTATGATAAACATAGTATTAATTCACTTTAGGGTAAAGCTTAATTGGTGGTATGTAAAGCTGCCATGATCTGGAATAAATCTCAATGAATAACTCCCGAATTCTGAGATATCTCTGATTGGAAACATGAAGAAGATTCATTTTTATGTTTTTTTCATGATTTCTAGCTTAATAAAGCAGAAAGCTATATTCGAGCTTGCCTGCTTGAAGCAAGCCGTTTTAGGCCACTCGAATTTCGCAGGAAGTGAGGAGGCAGATTGAAAATTACGAAGAAAAAAAACTTTGAGGCTAACTAAGTTCCCTCACATATTGGCTACAGTTTGAGGCAGTCAAATCAGAATAGTGCCAGTATGCTTTGTGAAAGCCACTTTTCGTTGTCAAAGCAGTCTGTCTATATTCGCAATGCAAAAATGTCAACGTATGTTGCACAGACTTTGATTTAAACTGCATGGTCGCAGATTGAATAGCAACGAAACAATACGTAGACAAAATCGAGGTCGAGAATTTGAGAACTATTATGAAGATGGGGGTAGTATAGTTGAAACGACCAGAAAATCCCGTCGAACAAACGAATATCGAATAGTGGGCTTTTGAAGAAAACTCGAGCGAACGAGTATTACTCGACTTGTGATTATTTCGAATTTGAATATTTGGATAATGCTACATTTCAAAATTTGAATGAAAAAGTATTTGAATAAACGGGGTTGGTCGAATAATCGACTATTCGAATAATTCCAATAATCTAGTGGCTCAAACACTGTTGGTTTTTTGTTTGTTGTAGTTTTCTGCAAAAAATTGATCGCTTTATCTGGCTTAGGTTCGTAGCTGATAATTATATGCGTAGCAAATGATAAGAATAATTGGGTTAATGTCTCTTGATCAGACTCTGTATATACAGGCTGTTCTATTTGTCCCTATTGATTGTTGATAACTCCCTGGCCATAAATAAAGTCTTTTGAGAAGCTTTAGTCAGCATTTTGTAGAGATGACTCCAACTTAGATTTACAGTATAGAGCAAATCAGCGACCGGTCTCTACTACTTTGAGATTACGTTAGGAACTTCTGGCATATGGTGTCGCCGTGAAAAAGCTGTCATTTTGACCAACTTCAAGAAAAATCGGAGAACTTGTGTAATAGGTTTTTCATGGACGCCGAGTTCAATACGCAACTTGTAGAAGATTGTGAAGCCTTCTAAACGGTGTAGATACATTTTTATTGGCATCGAAAAAGCGGCTGCTGTTACCTAGGCATAACTTTTTGAGGAAGCATGATAATGATGAATGCGAATTTCATATTAAGGATTAGCAACAGCTTAGTGTGAGAGCTTTCAAATTTTTTGTTCCCTTTCTGATCCAAAATATGACCGTTAAAGTTTCGTAATCCTGCAGTAATGAAGAGGAGATGATTTGCGGTTTGTATCTGAATTGAAGCCAGCTGCTGTACAGAATGGTGCCCAAAGTATCTATAAAGACTTCATGAGAAGAAAGTTATCAGCAATTAAACAGTAGGCTCATTTTTGGGACACCCTGCCTAGATAAAGGAGAAAATGTCTGTGTGTATATATGTGTGTGGGTGCCATGTATGTAACCTATGATCGGATTTGCTGCGTGCACCGTTTGAGCTAAAAACTCTGCACATGTATAATTTCGACAGCAACGGTCGTTATACTAGGCTGTTGCATAAGTTCTGTCCGATTTTTTTGCCTCATGTTTGAAGCAGCTGTTCTAAGAGAATTTTATCTCTAATTCGATACGGTTGGTATCATTGAAAAGTGCTTTCCTTGCGCTTTCTAAAGCATACCAGAATTCAATAAAATTCTTAGTGTACGGAGATCACAGGCCTAAAATCTCTAAGTGGCCGAGGTACGTTCTATCCCTAGAAATATGTCCTTGCGAGGATATCTCCACAATGCGCCCTTCAAGTCAGGTTCTTTCATTGGCTTCGGAATAAGGGTATGGAATGCTAGTATATGCAGAAGTTCGGTCCCATGAAGAATACGTCTTGCTAGTGAAATTTATCCTCGAACATAAATCTTTGGTATAGATGTTTTACAAGCAATAACTTTCTGCGAATAGAAGTAATCGACAAGCTCAAAGTTGGAGGTGCTAGGGCAAAGCAAGAAGTGGCTAATTTTTTGTTCGGTCAAGAAAATCTCTCGGCAGCGCAAACCCTATGGGCTCTTTTATGTTGCATAATAATCTACGAAAATTTCTCTATCCATCCATTATTAGAAAAGATGCCTATCAATTTTCATAAGGGAGCGTTACCATGTCAAAAAAGACAGATTCGAAGAAAAACGCTGCGAAGTTTTTGCATTCTTGGTTCTTCCTTAACAAAGATTTGCGCAGATCTCAATATGCATTTTAGCCAAGGGACTGCTCAACACATTGAAACTAAGACCTTGGAAAAAAGTTGACTCTGAAAGAAGTTATGACATTTTAAACTCAAAAATTCAAATCGGACAGAACTTATGCAACAGCCTAGTAGACTACGCGGAACTTTACTGGGTCTCTGAATCTATCTGCCGACTTGCTTACTTACATTTGGAAAAAACGAAAGCTTAACGGCAGCGTCCCGGCAAAAAGATGGGTGTCGGGTTTTTGCGGCTATATTATATAGACCCTCTACCTAAGCGATGAAAGTCTGGAGCGAATTAGGGGGTCTACCAAGCCTGAAATTTGCTTCGAAAGTGGCGCGAATCTTCCGGGCCCGGACGCAGCCCACACAGCGATTTCGAACTGCAAGGCCAGAGAACGCATAGCGCACACAGTTTTAAGCGCAAGGTTCCGCAACGACTCTGCATCTCTACCTTGCATGCATCTCGTACTCGCCCGAGCCACCGTAAGATTCAGGCCACTTGAGACTTCGTCGGCCCTCTTTCGCGCTGCAAACTTCTGTTGTCGCTTGTTTAGGGGGTCTAATATTACATTACTACCATAGCCAGGTACTTCCAGTCTGGTGGGACGCTGCCTTTGATTTTGACTGTGGCTATGAGACACGAATATCGGCGAGCTTTTGTTCAAGTAAGGTAATCTTATGTATCTGCAAGAAGCACGCTGCATCTGGTCCCTTCAATTTCCTGCTAACAGGAAAAATACCTTTACTTGAAGTAAAGGTATTTGGCAATGAATTCCTCACCATTTGAGGTGAGGTGTAAATTTCCAAACACTAAGCGTTGATCCTTTGTCCAGCTATCTGCGAAACTCCTTTTTGCAAAAATATAATTTCATGTAGAACACTCAGATGCACAGGTGTTCGAGTTTTAGAGGCTTTCGCATATTAAACCGTTAACAATTTCGGGTGAGTCCATTTCGACTGTGATTCCACACTTACTTCAAAAAAGGCGTAGATACCAGCCAGAACATTATTATAGATGGCATACTATTCTATGACTGATTCAAGGCGCGGATTTTACATTCATAGGCTTACAATTCAGCGCTGTGAAAAATAAACGTTTATAAAAAAATAAACGCAGCGGCTTCCAAATCACCGAACTTTTGATCGTATCGCCATGTCCTTCAGGAGGAATTCTGAATCTTGGGGCATCATTCGAATTAA